TTCAAATAGAAATATATTAGCTTGTTCTTCTATGCCATGTACCCATATGTAGCATTTAGTAGTACTGGGCTCTCCTTGGTGGTATATTAGACTGCTACCTTTCTGGGTCATCCGTAACCTACTCTTCCTTGATCTCTCACTGTTTCCCTATCTGTTGCCCGTTTTTACTGTCTACAGCGCACCTTCCTTTAGACAGGATCCTTATTTGGCCTGGAAAATAGGCTAAATATAAACAACAAATGCATCTGTTAGCATAAGCTCTGTTACTTAAAGTCTGCTTAGAGAGGTTCTTAGCTTAAAGTAAAAGAAGAATAAGTTTGTATTTCTTTAGAAGCAAAGATCCCTCTCATCCTCTCCAACAACCTTTTGTGTTGTTCTCTTAGACTGCTTTCTTGTGCAGGTGTCCATCTCTCCAAAGAAGGCCAGTCAGGCTTTTGTTTCAAGGACTCTCCTCTTAGTAGCACTACCCTACCCCAAACCCAGTTCCACTAGACCTTGCATTCCTATCTGTATTTAGCATAGGTCTTGGGTGAGGAAGAGTGAATGGTAGCAGGGTGGAATTGCTTTATTCATGGGCCATTAATACCCATTCAGTTTCAGGAAAAGGTATCTATATCTATCTCCTGTATTGCTTACCAGCACATGATAACTAAACAGCATTTTTCTCACTTGAATCGTCAACAGAGTTTTAGAAGTCAGATGCACAAATCCTATTTTGTCATACAGAGTTGCATGCAAATAATATATATGAAAATTGCAGACTAGACTATAATTAGAATACTATAGATGGAAGTATTTACAATTAAATTGCAACCGTAACTATCTCATGTACATCTTAATTAGTGCTTCTTACTGTAAGTACACTAGTATTAGTTTAGGTTGTAGCCGTGTTAGTCTAAGGACATAGGCAGACAAGGTTCCTTGGGTGAATCTGATATCTTTTATTAGGTTGGTCTAATAAAAGATATCAAATTCACCCAAGGAACCTTGTCTGCCTAGTATTAGTTTGATATATTTATTCAGCAAATTGTATATTTTATATAATTTGATGGTGAATTCACTTTTCAATTTATTTGTACACTTTCAGTCACAATTAACTTTATAATTTCCAAATTAACAGCAAATATGTATTTAGATACAGATTCTTAATCATCAAAGAAATAGCTTAACAATATTTTAAAGATATTACTTCTAAAAGTTGGAAAAAGTAATATTTAACTTTATCAGAAAAAAATTTAGAAAGGTTGAAAAAACCAATTGGCTGTGTTTTATTTTAAGAGTCATAATCAAATGGTCATTCTAAAATATTGCATTAATAAAACATTATTAAGATTGCCCATGCCCACTAATGTCTATTTATTATGATACAGTTTTTGATTACATGATGATCTGCTATTTTTCCTCAGTTCACTGAACAGCATCCTGTTCAAGGGATGGTTTAGGTTTGTGTGATCAATTAATTATTCTCCTTTGGACACCTACCTCTTTCATCTAAAGTTTTATGTGAAGTAGGTGAACGTAGAAAGATGCAAAGTATTTTAAAATGGTAAATAATAAACAAGAGAAGTGGGCCTCATTGCTTCCTCTGCCTATGTGATATTGGGCAACCTGCGTAAACCAACATTTTACATGTGAGCACTACTAATGTGTTCCTAATTTTTTGGTGCTGGGCACAAATGATTTAACCTTCCTCTAGAATCTAAATCAAAGGCAATAAGAAGGAAGATGGTGGGCCAGGTTTCAACCTTTTGGTCTGAAGTTTTACATTTCCAGCCTTCACTTTATATAAATTTAGATTTTTACGTTTAATAAGTTTTAAATTGACACAGATTTGTAGGAACATGTTAGTAAAAATGCATATTTGTTCAAATTATGCGTTGTTAAACAAAAGTAAAAAATAGCCAGTTAGTTTAAACTAGTGGTGCTCAGTCTATAGCTCACAGACCAGATCCAGCTCCCAAAGTGACTGAAACTGGCGCATAGCACAGGGGGCAACAGCAACTAGCACAGCACAGCCCCTTCCCTGCCCTGAACCT